CAGCTTCGCGACCTGCCCAGAATTCAGCAGCAGGTGTCTCCACTTCGAGGGCTAGCCCCTCCTCGCGCAGTCGACTCTGGAGAGCATGCAGAGCTATCGAACATACGGCATTGAATATCATGGCTCCTACCTTACACCCCTGGCGCCCCCCAAGTCTAGGACGCGCAATCTGTTCGACGGACCCTATGCTAAACCACGAGTGTGCATGCAACGAACACAGGAGTTCACTCACGCAAGGGTCAACTTGCCACTGCTCTAGGAGGGGTCCGTTTCTCTCCAGCTGCCCTAGGATTTGCTCTGCTACTTGCTTGCCTAGGCCTGGCGTTGCAAGATACGACAGGCGCGCCTCGCGATCAGGAGCGACGGCAGACGGAAAGCCGAACACCAACTCCCTCACCACCCTGTCGAAGGCCTTCACAAGGTCCACAAACAGGATGCACACCGACCACCCTCTCTTCTCCGCATACGCGATCACACTCTGCACGATCTGACCAGCATTGTCCGTGCCACGACGGGGTACTGCTCCAAACCGGGTCGTGGGCATTATCACATTATACATGGGGTCGATGGAACGTGTCATGCGGCCGACGAACGACTTGCCCGAGTGGTCAGCAGCCAATAGAATACCCCGATATTTGTTTCTCTCCTTCACATCCCCCTTCCCTTTAAAGAGAGACGCCATTTTGCCGCCTGTCCACTGTCGCGGCCAACTCATAGTATTGACGATGTTGTTTTCGATGCTGTTGAGGTGGAGTGCCAAGGGCCAATCGCCTGCTTGCAGGAGTTCCGCTGGGAGCCCATCACAACCAACACAAGCGACTCGTAGGTGGCCTCGGGGGATATGTTTAGACACGTCGATCCTATGCGAATCGAGCCAGGTACCGATATTTCTTCAAGATGCTTTGATTGAGCTTGAAATACTTTACTATAGTGCTGTAGCCAGGCCCGATCTCTCTCACATGCTGATGCAGTCAGCTCACCAGCGTCATCACAAGCATCATAATTCCCTGTGACACCACCTTGCGTCAACATGCGAACAATCTTGAACGTCTGTGCGAATCGTCCGTTCAATGCTTGATTATCCAAGTTAGCAGCCTGTGATTCCAACATAATGTTGCGGTCAACGTCGCACAGAGGCTTGATCAGGCTCTTCAAGACATGCTGGCAATGAACAACGTATGCAACACACCGCCGCATGCGGACCAGATTGCAGTGAAGATTTGAGTAGACCCCAACCGCTTTCCATCCATATCTGCAGTCATCAGCACAAGGATAGGGGGCCCGTCTCTGGGCCAGCAAGACATTGAACACAAACTGTAGTCGTAGTCGACGCTGTAGCTGATGAAGGGCATGAGCCTGTCGACGAAGCGGAGCATTCCACCTCGACACCGTCCAGGTTCGATCCGAAATCCAGGGCTTGGTCGGGGTGTCTCTCTTCGTGCCAAACACCTCGACAGCCGCCGTCCTCGCAAACGAGTTGAGGCTCTCTAGCATCATGGTGGAGTCACCCTGCTTCAGCTTGAACTGCCATAGTCGCTTCCTGAACTCTCTCCGGCAAACAGGGTCATCCAGTCGACGGCGGTCAAACCGAGCAGGAAAGATGTGCGTAGCCTTCTCCGTCTTCGGCTGCACCGCGTTATCATGCGGCAACCCTCGTACTGGACACGACGCCACCGCAACTCTGTGATCCACAGTGTGATTTAGCGTAAGATCAAGATCGTCATCAACATGGGACTTGACTGCGTCAGAAAACTCGCTTTGTAAGACACATAATCAATCCTCGCAGGATTTTCTCCCTTGGAGGGCTGCCAGGTCCACTCGGCACCTGTGAACGTGTTGACTGCCGGCATCTTTTGCACCTCGAGCGTCGATCTGAATAGAGCGCCGTTTGCATTCTCTCTGGCTGAGCTGAGTTGGCCGACCGAAGGTGATGATACTGATCCCACCCTCGCGTTAGCATCCACCGCCAACACAACAAACTTCTGCCTCCAAGTCGTCATTGAATCTCCGAGCGTGGCCCAGAATTGTTGGCTATTCTCAGCTTTGTCGTAGGAGTGTGGCGCGTGGGCGGAAAAAATGAGCATGGGGATGCGCTCCTTCCTGCTCTCCATCTTGATGGTGCCCGCCGCGATCACAATCCTGGGGTGCGGCGCCTCCCAAGCATCAGCGCGGAACTTTAAGTCGTAGCTCACCCACAGCTGAGTGCCGTAGCTAGCTTCCTCGGGCGTCCGCAGCTGCACAATCCATGTTATAGAACGTGCCCTGACACACTTGCTCGCTTCGGCTCCTGCCCTCCTGGATACCGATGATCTGAATTCTTGCATGCTGAAATGGGGCCTCCAGTAAGGCGACTTTAGGCATCAGCGTGGCGCCCTCCACGCGTGCATAATTGGCAAGCTCCTGCTTGGGGTGCAGCGTACGGGCATTCCCACTCGCAATCTGCAGCACCCACCGCGGGGGCGATCAGCTCGTCGTCGCTGCCGCCTCCACTGGAGGAAAAACTGGCGCCGCCACTGCTCCTGTCGCTGCGGCT